GCCCCGCCCGCGCCATGGCTGCTCCCGGCCCCGCCGCGGCCCGGCCCCTCCACCTACCAACAAGACGCGCTCCCATTGGGCGCCGCGGGGCCGCCCCGCTCGGGGCTTAAAGGCCCAGGCGCGCCCTCCGCGGGGGTCGGGGAAGGCGCGGAGGGTGCGCGGGTTCGAGTCCCGCTCCCGGCGGGTGGGACGGGCGGTGAAGGGGGCGGCTAGAAGGGCCGAGCGGAGGGGCGCGGCCCGGCCGGTGCCCCCCGCCGCGGTTACCCTCCGTCCCCTCGCCCACCAGGCTCGGCGGAGGCCCTTGCTCCAGAGGACGGTGGCAGGGAAGCCGAGCTGCCTGCCCTCTGCCTGCCACAAAGCCGTGCCAGATCCCCAAGAACCCCATGCAAAGCAGCGATATTCCCAAATGCCGGTGGGATGGTTGTTACGCACCCTCACTCAGCCAGGCTCTTTTTGTTCGCTTGCTTTTTCCTTCCCTAAAAGCCCCGATCGCGCCCGGCCTTTGCCGTTTTCCCCCGGTGGCAGCGCACAGCCCAGCAGCCGGCGTTTGGGGGGTGCGAACACCCCCCCGGAGCTGTGCCGGGGCAGCTCGGCGCTGGGTTGCCGGGGAAGGGTCCCCGCTCAGCCCGGCGACGCGGGGGGGGCTGCCCGCCGGCCCCTTCCCTCCCTCCTCAGCCCCCGTCCCCCCGCCGGCAGCGGGGTAACGTCAAGGGCTCCGAGCCCGTTTCCCCGGGCGCGTTTTCCCGAGGCCCCGCGGGATGCTGCTCTGCCAACAAGCGCCGCCGTGATTTGGCAGCCGCTCGAACTCCCGACCTGTCTCTCCTCCCCGCATTGGCTGGATACGGCCGGTGCCGGCCCCGGGCGGTGACACCGGCGTCCCCCCGAGCCGGGCGGGCGGCCGGTCCCTGCCTTCGCCGGGGACTGGCGGGGGTAGAGGGGGGATGAAGGTCTCCTGGCTGGGCGTGGATGTCTCCCGGGTGCTGCACTTGGCCGCCGTCTTCTGCCTGACCTGCGTGTTGCTGAAGGCCATCCAGCTCTACCACCGGCGGCGGGAGCTGCTCAGGGCGCTGGCCGACTTCCCCGGCCACCCGACCCACTGGCTCTTCGGCCACGTCCACGAGGTAGGGCGAGAGACGGCTCTGCGCTGCCCGGGGTGTGTGGGGGGAGTGGGAGTGCGGGGAGCAGTTTCCCCGCGTGGGAGGAGGGGTGATGCTGGTGGGACTCCTCGCCATGGTGCGGGAGAATTGCTTCTCCCAGTCCCCGGGGGGGGATGATGCTGTGAAAGCCAGGGCACGGCCGCTGCAGCGGTCCCCGCCACGCACCCTGCTCCCACCCTGCTCCCACCACCCAGAGGCACCTTCTTTCCCTTTGCCAGCTCGCATCGGCTTCCCGGCCAGGCGAGCCAGACAGGGCGCCGAACATTTCGAGTCACGTTTAAGCCATAAAACGCATCCCAGGTATAGCACCCGGCACAGGGGCCACAGATGGTTTTAAGGTTGCGATAAAGCCGTGGCTAACTAGACCCGCGTACATAACCTGATCCGTGCACTCGTGGCGTGGATGCCTATTCCCCGAGGTACGCGCTTGCCCAAACAGGTCAGCGTGGCTGCCTGGGCAAACACATTTGCACCACTCGTTGGCAGCTTCACGACGAATAACTGAACTACCTGACGCGAAAAGGCTTTTCCATACATGCTACAGGCCGTTTCAAATCGCCCTGACCTCTCCTGGGCTCTGCTGATGCCCTGCCCTGGCCAAATCTGTGGCACGTTAAATAACTGGCACCCTGAAAAGTGGCTGGGAAGTCAGGGAGGGGAGCTCCTAGGGCTTGTTTCTGTGCCGTGCCAGCCCCAGTTCTGCCGCACTGGACGGGACAGGGTGTCTTTTGGCAACGTAAGCGTGAAGATGGGCCAGTTCAGGGCTTTGTCGCGCTGCCAGTTAGACTTTAAAACTGCAGTAAAATAAAGTATGTTTGCCTCTGTCAGTTGTGACTCTTTATCCCGGAATGGGATTTAACCATTTGCGCCAATCACTTGCTTCCATCGTGGCTAGGTTATTCACAGCTAGACTCTTACCTCAGGCAGTATTTTTTGAAGAATTCCCGTTTTGCAGATTTAATCATTTGCTGATGAAGTGCCGCTGAATTCCCCAGAGCCCAACAGTTCACTGAGCCAGTGGGGAAACTGGCACCGCTCTGGGCACATGCCGAATACAAAGTTTACACCCACCTCGGAGGAGGACCTGAGAGCTGTATTCAGGGAGACCACTGACATTTCCTATTCTGTTGGTTTAAAGGGATTAATTGCCAGTTTTGATTCAGGTCAGTTTAGTATCTCAGATAGCTTTGTCATGCTTTGGGTGGGTCTCCTGGGAATACATCACTTTGTTTTAAAGCATTCTTAGGTATTAGTCCCTGCTTATCCAAATCACTCGGTAGAAATGACGTTAAAATATCCGGAGAGGTTGTGTAGGGCTGTTCAGTCTCACTGCAGCAGCACTACTTAGTTAAAACCCAGAGTGCCAGCCCCGAGGTGGCCAAACCGACTTCCGATGGCCACGGTTGGTGGGAAGCAGAGGAGAGCGGGGTCGCTGCCCCGCGGGCGCAGGGGGGCTCTCGGTCCCTCGGCAGCCCTTCACCCGCATCTGCCCTGTGCGGGTGGCTGGCGGAGGGGAGCCAGCCTGGTTCTGACGGAGCAAGGCGCAGCTTCGTGCTCAGATTTCAGCTCCTGTATTTTCTGTTTCATTTGCTACCGGCACATAATCATTAGAAGTGCCTTTAAGCGCCTCTTCCCAGATGCTTTTAGCATTGGATCTATTTCAAAACTTGCATTTCCATGTGAGATCAGGCTATTACCCTTCTTCCTTAGACCCAAGTGGGGGTTATACTTTTCTTTTCAAGCCCCCAAGGGAGGAAGAAGTGGAAGTGATGGTCTTTCATGCAGAGCCTGGTAGCTGGTTGAGAAGCAGGAGCTTTCTGTTCCTGTTCCTCTGCAGCCCGCAGGATTTTACACCTTCTGCCCCAGGAGTGCTGGGCACAACAGGTGGAGGTTACTCACTTTGGAGGTAACCTTTCCTCTCAAATAAACCCATCCCAACCTCTGCAAATGCAGGGATGGTTCTTGAGAGCACAAACTGAGGCTGGCACTCCAAAACCAAGGTTGGATGCAAAGGCTTCTAGCGTTAGGACTTGTGCCAGCGAGGCTTGCTCAGCATCTCCCAATTACCTCCATTTATGCTTCCTGTGATTTTGTGATGGGAGGAGACACAAGCAGACCTATCAAAGGTACTTTCACATGTTCAAGTGTCACTCAACCAAAGGCGCCTTGCCAAGCCCTGCTTCTGCTGGCATTGCCAAAGGGGCGGGCGCTAGGGAGGGCTGCCTCCTTTTACCCCAAAACTTGATCCCTGCAACCAGAGAAATTGATAGTTCTCTTTAATAAGTCCAAAATCTTGAACTTGAGCAAGAGAAGTTGAACGACAACCTTCTATCATAAATGATAACTGGATGTAGTTCGTCATTCTGCCAAATGCGAGAGACATGGGGGACGTGCTGCAGGGACCCCCCCGGCTCACAAGGAAGGGGGCTCAGCCTTGGAGCACGGAGCCTGGACCTGCCCCCACTCAGCCTACGTGGTCCCCTGGCAGATGCCCCATGGTTCCTGAGCATCCCCTCCGAGACAAACCTGACGTGTGTCGTTATTTGAGTAGAAGCCATCTTCCAGGTTGAGAAACACTAGCCAAACTAAAAGCTGAGCTGAGCTAACTCAGCACTGAAGCAATTGAGCAAATATTCACTTGACTCAGTCAATGGGGTGACTTTGGGGCCGATTTCTGTGCCACTATCCAGATGTAATTAAACTTCAAGCTTCAAGTCAAAGCAGCAGCTATGTCAGCCCTAGCTCACCAAAATCCTTCACCCTGCATATTGTGGCAGAGTAGTTTCTGTTCAAAGAAAAGAGAATTCTTACACAATTTTGTCTCCATGACCTTTTTTTCTCTGCTTGTGACTTTGGAACTTTCCACTGATCTTTCCACTTGTTCTCTGGCTATTGCCTGTTTAATATACAACAACACTGGCTGAAAAAGCAATAAAACGGTGATCACTTTTGAAGAGTGAACCTGCCAGTGCTGCCAATACGAACGCTGGTGCTCACGTTATTCCTCAGCATGCAGCTTCCAAGGACCAGAGATGAATCCTTCTGGAAGCACCAGCCCTTCATCGCCTACTAAATTCAATTCCTGGAAATCAAGGAAATCTTAATCTGATGTTATTAACCACTGTCCCCTCCGCTGTAAACTCCGTTGGTGACTGTGGACTCATTCTGTTGAATTTTACGTGGACACTGGCCTCCTCCAGCTAAATGGCTGGAGGAAGCTGTGGCCCAGGTTTCCCGGTCAGGAGGCATCATTGCACCGGGACGGACACAGCAGTGATGCCGTGGACTGCTGTAAAAGTGCTGCTGTATTTTCTCATGACTGCAGGTGTTAATTGCTCAGCCACATGCAAGTGAGGACATATTTGCACATCACAGAATGCAGAGGCTGTCTGGGCAAATCTGTGTCTTCTTTGGGGTGGCCATGGAAAAAGAGCAGAAAACATATGTGCACTGATAGGCGCCACCACTGTCCCTAAGGACGTTCCCCACAGTTAGGGTCAATTGATAAGGAAGAATTATTTTATATGAGGTTTAAAAGTAACAAGCATCTCTACTTCTGATGCTCTGCAAACCCAGAGGGACAGCAATTTGTTTGCCATTACTTGGTTTTGTGATACAGAAAGACCTTGAGCTTTTTAAGACAGTGGTTTGGGAGATTATTTATTTTTTCCTCTGAATCTAAGTATTCTTTCTCTTTTTACTTCCCCACAACTACAGTTTCTCAAGGAGGAAGAGGTGCTGGACAAGGTGGAGATCTGGGCACAGAAGTACCAATACGCTCACCCTGTCTGGTTCGGGAGTTTCTTAGCATTCCTGATTGTCACCGATCCCGACTATGCCAAGGCTCTGTTGGCCAGAGGAGGTGAGAAGATGATGCCTTCAGCTGTGGAGCAACAACCATAGCCTGCAGATTTCCCGTGCCAGCCTAAAAATTCATAGCAAGGCAGGATTTCGCAGAGAGGTTGTCTTGCAGAAATAATCTAAAGGCACGGAGAGATATCCCTCCTTCATGCCATGCCCTTGGTGCTTCAGGCACAGGGCTGTGGAGGTGGCTGGGGCCCCTCCAAATCTGGCAAATCAAACTTCCTCAAGTGCTCCTTGAAAAGTTATCTTCTCAGTGCCTGACCTCAGCAAGGAGAAGACAGCTGGAAGCTTTTTTCTTGGCTCAGACCCCTGGCTCCTACTGCAGAGCCGTATCTTTAGTGCATCCAGAGAGAAAGGTATTAAACAGTGCTGTGTGGGAGGGTTAATAATTTATCACACAGCACAGACTTTGGACTACCAGTATTCTTCTTTATTCCAGTCTGGGCATCTGCTTTTATACGTGTTTCTTGCAGATGGGCCAAACAGTGTTGTTTTGTTGTGAAATACTGATTAGTTCTGCAGGGATGCCACCAATTCGGCTTCATACCCAATCAAGAGTGAGAGCTCAGAGGGAGCTTTCATGTGCAAACCAGTGGGTTGATGCTACTGAAACATTTACCATTTTATTTTCTCTTTCTTGATGATTTTTTTACAGATCCCAAGGACAACATCAGCTATAAACACCTTGTCCCGTGGATCGGTATGTATTCCCAGGTCTTTGCCTACCAGGAATGATTCTGAAGTTAGTCAAGAACATGCTATGAATGAACAGCGTTGTGCTTGTTCCTTGATGCAGTTATAGCTTAAGGCTTCCTGAAATATTTATGTTTATTGAAAAAGGTGCTAAAATAACACTATTTTTCGTGATTCGAGGATAGAAGGTTCAGACATAGTCATACGTACAAATGAGAACCACTTACGTGTCCGTAGTTAACAAAGGGTGGTGATGGGAGAAGTTCAGATTCAGTGGAGGACTGGTGAAAAATGCATCTGCTGCTCTGAACTTCTCGGCTCCAGCAGCGCTGCTGTTTCTTTTCGGAGGCAGCACTGTGTTGTTTCAGTGAGCAGGGCTCTGCTCAGCCCTGGGAACCCTGGAGCTGACAGCAACATTTGGAAACGCTCTCTCGTAGCAGCTCAGCAGATTTAATCGTGCTCCTTGTAGGCAGAGGCTGTGTCTGCAGGCAGGTGAAAGCAGCTTGCTTGTGCCAAGCAAAACATGCCTTGACTGTGTTTCCCCAGGGAACGGGTTGCTGATCTTACACGGGCCAAAATGGCACCAACATCGAAAACTCCTGACTCCAGGGTTTCATTACGACATCTTGAAACCATACGTGGCCCTGATGGCAGAGTCTACTAATGTGATGCTGGTAGGACTCATACCTGATGCTCCTCTCTCTGCCCTGTTTTCTTTTCCCTGATCCTGACTGTTTAGTAGGTAAATGCTGGAGCAGGGTTTCCTTGCAGTGCCCTTATTCACAACCTGGTAATTGTAAGGATAGGCTGTAGTAGTCAAGGTTTCTGAGCCACCACAAATCCCTGCGTGGGGTCTGGACGGAACCAGCAGGTTGAGCCTCCCTGCGGGGACTATGTCTCTGGTGCTGCTTTGGGCTCTGTGGCTAAGGTTGGAGAATTAATGTTAGTGCCGTCCCCAAATCTCAATCCCAACTGCAACTTCTTATAGGGTGTTTTTGTAAATGAAGAATTGAAGTAAATGAAGGTCCATAATAAATCCCCAAGTTTTAGTTGAGTTGGAGCAGAGCTATACTGTCACCTAAGGTTAAAAGGTATCATTTGCTATCAACATACCCATGACTGGATTGCAATCCTTGCCTTGCCTAATACACAGTGAAAATGCACTGTTCTCCCATCCATCAGTGCCGGGTGTGATGGAAACCAGTGTGAATTACAGGTGAGGGGCACCAGCCTTTATGTGCGCTTGGACCAGCAGGAGTCTGGGTGCCAGAAGTATTCCTCCTCCTTTGCCTCCCTTCATCCAATCTCCCCAGCAGGTCCACATGGATCCTGGCTGTCCTCCCTCCCACTGGCCAAGGGAACAGCCAGGAGCCAGGGGCTGAAGAGCCAGGAGAGCTTTTGCAATGCACACTAGTGCCTGGCAGTTTATAATTCCTCGCAGACAATGCAAAGTGCCTATTGTGGGAGCCCATGCCACCAGGTGGCAATCGTTGTATGTGCTAAGGACATAAGTCTGTCCATATAACCTGGTTTCATGCTGTGGGAGCTCAGATGTGACTGTGCTCCTCCATCTCCTCCCTTTCTCAGCTTTTGAGTCCACTGGTTCCTTACAGCCATGAAGGGACAGGGGATTCAACATCATTTCATGTCTGCCAGGCAAGAGAGACACTATTTATAGTTTCTCTAGGGATTCCCTATGGGAAGAGTTGAGCAAGAGCTCCTATGTTATATGCTGGAAAAACACAGTGGGAAAGAGATCGTGAGATGGAAGCTTGAATCTTGGACACCAAAGGCACCAAAGTCGCATGTGCTTGTGAGAGAGAGATAGAAAAACACAGACTTGGTGAAGCCCCATACCAACATATGCTGCTCCTGTATGGGAAACACACTGCACCCTAAGAAATACTTTGGTAACACACCCCATCATCCAGCAATGCACCCATCCTGGGCTCCTCTGGGGTGCCTTCATGCCTTTGCCCCAGGGTAGGGTGTACCAGGGCTCACCGCTGCCAGGATTCAAGAGTAGCAGCTGCCTGAGGCAAATCTTGTATTAACAATCCCCCTCTTGGCTTCCCTCCTCTGGGATTTTGGCAGCAACTAAGAGATCCTCTTCTTTTTTCCATTTCTCTGGGACATATCCCAAGCTGAGCACTCGTTAACCAGAAAGTGAATGTAGATCGTGCGGAACTGTCCCTTACGTTCTCATTTCTGTCTGCTTTGTGTCCTAGGATAAATGGGAGCAGCTGATCACAGACGGGAAACCAGTGGAACTCTTTGAGCATGTCAGCCTGATGACTCTCGATAGCATCATGAAATGTGCCTTCAGTTGTCACAGCAACTGCCAGACCAACAGGTCAGTGCTGGCTGCCCCAGACCCTGGCAGAAAGTTCACAGCTCCGAAGGGAAGCGGGCAAATTGCTTGTCATGATGCTCCCAAATTTACAAACTTCCACCATTCCCCTCTCCCCAGGAAAAACACCTACATCCAGGCTGTCTATGACCTATGCCTCATGGTGCACCAGCGCCTCCGCATCTTCCCCTACCACAATGACATCATTTACTGGCTCAGCCCCCACGGATATCGGTTCAGGAAGGTCTGCCAGCTCGCTCATGACCACACAGGTATTCCCTGCCTTCATCTTCTCCCAAAGCCTTTGAGCAGGTTGGGTGCTGGCTGACCAGAGGCAGTCGAGTTACCTCCTTGCCCATGCAGTGATCCTGCCTGGAGGCTCGGAGCTGGGATCCAAGTAGAGCATCAGCTTGCAGCAGTGGTCCAATCTAGGCATGAAGCAAGGGGGTCTTACAGCTCCTGGATTATTAAACTGGACTAACGGAGGAATTTCCCTCTGGGAATGCTCCTGTTAAATGAGCTGAGACTGGTGAGACAAGGCATGGGTGCTGCAAGCAACACCGATGCAAGGAATGATTTTCCTTTCCAGGCCAGTTGTGATTTTAATGCAGGAGGGGTGGGTAAAATAGGCTGAGGAGCCTGTGGTGGACAAAGAAGTTTGCAGAAAAGGATGGTAATGTGCACGGCATTTGTCGCTGTGCTGCTGAAAAAGCCAAACTGCCTGGGATGCAGAAGCATACATGGCAAATGCATCACGGACAGAGTGGTGGTCACCCCCTTGGGTGAGCTTTGCATTCACAGGGCAATTTTGTGGCTCAGCATCTCCTGCCCTGCTGAACCTTTAACTCTTTCTTTCCCAGACAAGGTGATCCATGAGCGAAAGGAGTCCCTTAAAGATGAACAGGAATTTGAAAAGATCCAGAAGAAGAGACATTTGGACTTCTTGGACATTCTGCTGTGTGCCAAAGTGAGTGGTGAGGAGTGGGTGTGCGGCAGGGCAGCAGGGTGCAAAAGCCACTCAGTCTTTGCAGGGGTGCCACAAACCACCAGAGACCCTCAGGACCTCACAAGCCATTAAAATAAATTAGCCCAGTCCTGCCCAGTTGAGGAGGGGCCATGGTGGTCCAATTTTCCATCACTGAAATGGAAGCACCTGTTGGGGAGTACAACATACAGAGGGATTTCATAGTCCTGGTGGTTTAATATGGGGGCGATAAAGGGATTTATAAGTGAAGGAAAAGGGCCCCTGAATTCACTTTAAACAGAGATTGATTTTGTTTATATGTATCCCAGGGGCATCACCACCCCCCTTTGCAATAGCTGAAAGAATGTAATGGTCCATTCTGGGATATTATATTATTTTTATATATATATATATAAGGGCCACTAATATATATATATATAAAAAATCTATATTATCTGTATTATCTATATTATCTACATTATATTTTTTATATATATATATTATATATTATTTATATATGTATGGGCCACTGAAAGTGTCTCTGGACTGTTAGGATGAGAACGGAGCTGGACTGTCCGATGAGGACCTGCGTGCTGAGGTGGACACGTTCATGTTTGAGGGCCATGATACGACAGCCAGCGGGATCTCCTGGCTCTTGTACTGCCTGGCATCACACCCTGAGCACCAGGCACGGTGCCGGGAGGAGATCCAGGGGATCCTGGGGCACCGGGAGACACTTCAGTGGTAAGGTTGCACATTTCCTCAGCTGGTAACTTTTCTCCCATCGCTGTCATTTCTAAGCGAGCAAATGTCTTCAGGGCTCGAAAGCTGGGCTGCTAAAGGTTGCTGTGTGCACAGGGACTTCATAGGATGGAGCAGATACTGCATCCTTCAGCTAAATCTGCCTCCCTGCCCTTCTTACCAGGGCAGACACAAAAAAAGGGCCAGACCAGGAGGGACATGCTGGATGCCATGCCAAGACCTGGGCCACCAACATCGCCCTTTGCTCTCTCCTGTTTTCTCGCCACAGGACGTTGCAGTCGTGGCTTTTCACCTTTTGCTGTCACTTTGCACTTGAGCTTGTTCAGAGGTTGTTAAGGTTGTTCAGAGGTGTCTTGGGGTCCCCAGCCTGCAGCAGCCTGTGGTTGGAGGTTGCGGGTCCCTCCGTACGCCCCATCTGTTGCAAGGGGGTCTGCCCAGGGGGATGACGGCTGTGGGCAAGGGCCCTCCCGGCACAGGGCAGCGGGGGGAGCGGGGAGCTCAGCCTGCCTCTGTCCCGGCAGGGAGGACCTGGGCAAGATGACTTACAGCACCATGTGCATCAGGGAGAGCCTTCGCCTTTACCCACCGGTGCCCGGCGTGTCCCGGCAGCTCAGCAAACCCATCACCTTCCCCGATGGACGCACCTTGCCAGAAGGTCTGTAAGTCCCATTCTTCCTTCACAAAATTGTGCTCTTGGACATCTCGCCGCCTGCTGCAGAGCAAAGGCGGCAGCCCTGCCTCTGTGACCTGCTCCTTGCTGGCACAGACGTTCAGAGAGGGCTGTGTAGATGTCGACATCCCATTGACAGACCGAGGTCTGGGCTGGGTGGTGGCATCCCAGTGACATCCTTCCTGCCACCACCACTGTAGGGCAGCCGTGCCGGTGCCAAAAGCCCCTTGTCATCCTGGCCAAGCACAAACTCATGGTTCACCCATTTTGGCAAACTGCAGGCACAGGGGGATGGGGACCTGTCCCATCCTGACTTGTGGCCTGGGAATTGCCCTGTGCTCCTCTATTCCTTCTCTGATTTGGCACACAAGCAGGCAGCGTCAGGGTGGGGATGATGTGCCTATGATGCCGGTGCCTTCCTCATTTCCACCTTTTGCCTGCTTACAACTAAACAAATGGAAAATATTTAGTTTTCTCTGAAGTCAATGACAAAACCCTCATTGGTTTCCAGTTGACAGATAAGACCATGATGACTTAGACAGACCTTTGTGTGAGCACGCTGCACCTTCCCTTTAGTTTCTTTGTCACTGATCCCTTTTCTCCTCCTTGATTCCTTCACAGGCAGCATTGCCGCGATAAGCATTTATCTCATTCACAGAAACCCTGCAGTATGGAAAGACCCTTTGGTGAGTTTTCTTTTGCCCTTCTAATAATTTTCCCCTTTATGCTGTGCCTCTTCCAATGTCCCCTTCATGTGTTAGCAGGAGAGCAGAGCCCCCACTTGCTCCCAAACATCTTAACCCATGGGAATCATGCTGAGAAGCAACCACCTTGCGTTAGTCTCAGCCAGCGGTGGCACAGGGCAGTCAGAGAGCAGCGTTAGGGCTGGGTGCTGCCCAAACAGTAAGACAAAGTGCTGTGAAGAGCTTGTATTAACAGGCAAAAAGATGATTTTTTTGCTCAGCCTGCAGGTGGAGGATTGGAACCTGGCTCCCTGGTTTTCATCGTATCTATGTCTGGTTTATCTTGGCAACACCATTGCCAGGCTCGGTGGAAAGCAAGGGAGTTTGGTGTATGAGTTTCAGTCCATCTCAGAATGAATTCTCACTGCAGTGGGGTTGTTCAGAAATTATGGGGTGTCACGTTTCTGAAGATACTGGTCAGTACTGTGTTCCTTGACTAATTGCTTTTTCTTGCTGCATATTCTTCATTTCCAGGTGTTTGACCCTTTGCGGTTTTCCCCAGAGAACATCTCTGGCAGACACTCTCACGCCTTTCTGCCTTTTTCTGCTGGAATGAGGTAAAGTGTATTGAATGTTGAAGGAGTAGTGTGGAGAGAAAACATGCATCCCTGGAAACTGCTCAGCCCTAGAAATGTGTGCTGCTGTTATAATTGCTATCAGGGAAGCACTCACAGAGTGCTTTCAGAGACCGCTGCCTGAAGTCCTGGTCCTGCAGCGTTAAACGGTTCAGGAGCATGTAACGTTTGTGCTGCAGAGGGATTCTGATACCAGCAGGCAAGATGGGAAGGGAACATCTCCAGGCCACTCCTGGGGACCAGGAACCGGGTCCCAAAGCTGTGGAGAATCCTGCTGGCATCATGTGGGGAGCCTGCAGCATCCTGGGCTTACCTGCTGTCTTCCTCTCCTCGGTGCAGAGACCCCATCTCACCCCCCTGCCCTTTGATTCCCCCTTCTCCCCTGCTCCCAATCCTTCCCTTCGCCCTGTGCTCACCCTGCCAAGGCAAACACATTGCAAACCCTCCTGCTTGGAGACCCACTACCTCGGCTCTGCTGGCCTCTCCTTTGGCTTCCCCATCTCCCCTCCCTCTCCGTGCTCATTGAACACACATCCAGGAGCTCCCGATGCTCCCCCAGATTCCCTCTGCTCGGCCCGGGTCCCTGCTTTTGCCACCCAAAATACTGCCTGGGGCCTCCAGAGCTGCAGAGGGGAAGGGTTGTGTGCTGATTTGAGAGGGCTGGGATCCAGCCATGGGGGTTTATCTGTGCCCAGCACTGAGGTGGAGTGGCTGAGCTGCTCTGTTTTACCCCAGGAACTGCATCGGGCAGCAGTTTGCCATGAACGAGATGAAGGTGGCGCTGGCTTTGACCCTGCTCCGCTTCGAGCTCTCACCCGACCCCACCAAGCCTCCCTGCAAAATACCTCAGATCATCCTTCGCTCCAAGAATGGGATTCACCTGTATCTAAAGAAAATCCGCTGATGCTGGAAAACGTCCTGCCTTTGCTGTAGGGAGGGACCAAGCAGATGACGGGACAATGTTTCTCTGGGGCAAAAGGTGCAGGGCAGGATTTGGGGATGAGGATGCCTGATTTCTGTGCTCCTTCCACCAGCTGAAAGCCCTTTTTGGTCTGGGCCCAGGTAGCCTGGATGGCATTGCACAGACCCATTGCCATCCGCTCCACGAGCGCCAGTCTCGCAGCGGCCGGGCATGGCCATGCCTCTTTGCTGGCTGTCCCCTTGCCCTGCCGTAAGGGCTGGGAACATCTGCAGGTCCCACCAGCTTCCTCCCTACCAAATCCTGCCTTCGCACTCATGTCCTGGCCAAATTCGTGACCGTTCCCAGCCCTGCTCCGTCATCAGCGCCTTCCTCGGTGCCTAGAGGTCAGCCCTCCTCTCCTGCCGCAGGGACAGCCTGTGGCAGACCTCTGTCTCTCTTCTCGCACTCAATGGTCTCTGTTTTGTTGAAAACACTGAATCCAGTCTGGGCTCTGAAATTCTGCCTAAACTGCAAAACTTCCATAATTTTTGTGTTAATAAACCAATAATTAGTCCTGTAATAGCAGCTCTGTCAGTTTTTATTGCTGATGCTTGCCCACTTTGTCACAAATACGGTGTAGAAACCCTTTAGAAATGGGAAGTGGAAAGGGAACCCATGAGCAGCAAGAGACAACCCTGGGGGTGTCTGGCCGGGCCCCTGCCCGCAGGTTTCCAGCCACAGCCAGGCAGCATCTTCTTCCATGGGCAATCCCTTAACAGGGGTCCAATGTGCAATCTTCATTTAAAACTGCAAGGGAGGAGTTCTGATAATTAGAAAGGGGTTTTTCTCTCTCTCTCTCTCTCTTTTAAATTTTCCTAAGCTCATAAAGTTAGGAGAGTTGTATGCTTGAGGTACACTGGAGGACGCTAGTGAGCTGTCCTCTGCCTCTGCAGGAATCATTATTGGGGTAGGAAGTGTCAAATTGGGAAAACCCAAATGCTGCTGTTGCAATTAGCATTGCGGTGACATCAAGAGCGGTTCCAGCATCACGAGCAGGCTGCTGTGCAGCAAGACAGCGCCTGACTTCATACAGCTTTCATCCGCAGAGATAAGGCAGATAGAATGCAGCTGGGGAAACAGGAGGACCTTTTTGTGAGATACGCTGTGCTACACTGTCAATACCACAAGCCCAGTCACTGTTGAGCCCCATTAAAGGAAGGTTATATCAAACATAAGGTTTTGTCCAATTTTAATTTTAAGTGCACAAAGGGTGCCTGTATTAAATGAGATAATACAAATAACTGGTGTCATCTCTCACTCTGACCGTACTACCAACCCACTGCAAATGTCGCACCAAAGGTGTCCTCAGAACAGCTGTAATTGAGAAGCTGCAAAAACCAGGCCGGTTTATTGTGCAAATAGGGTTGCCCATGCACCTCCTCTGCCACATCACCCGTATCTCTAACCACAGCTGTATCCACAGCTACCGCCAAGCCCCCCCAAACCCCTCCTGTGTCCTCTCCGCTTACCTTTGTGCCAGCACATCCAGCCGCCATCGATAAAACCTGCCTGCCGTGGGGTGCTCGCTTAGCCAAGCAGCCTCGAGAAGACATATCCATCAGCCAGCTTCACCTCCGATCTCCATACCTCATGGCGCTCCAAGCACCCGAGCCACAAATTAGCTCCTCCTGTGAGCAAAACCTCCAGGTTGCCCTGAAGCAACTGCTATGATTCAGTAATATCCCATTTCAGAAGAAATGGTAAAAGAAAGAAATCGCCTGCGTGCACGGGTAACACGAAGGACACGACTGCGTCAGCCAGCTTCACCCTGAGTTCAGCTACAACTTTGTTGAGCCTGAGTACACAAAAAACACCAGAAGATTCCCACCCTGCCATGGATTTGCATCCATAGTTTGTGAGGAGAAAAACTTGGGTCACTCCATATCCTGGAATAAGTTAAAGGAAAGCAGAAAGATTTATCTCCTCCTGATGAGGTCCAGGAGGAAAGCAGTAAATGCACCTGGCTCAAACTTGCTCAGTCACAGCCTCTAGTCATATGGCAAGTAATAAGCTGATAAAAGCCAGTTTCTTCAGTTACATTCAATCATATTTCAAGGTCACTGGGTAAAAGCTCAATGTGTAAAAGATGCAAACTCACCTCACCTCGGTTGCTAAACTAAGTCTGTTCCAGCTACAGCAGCTGAGGAGCTACATATCAGGGGTGATGCCAATATTCCCGTGCAAACCCACAGTCATCCTTGTACGCTGACCAGACCCAGCGTGGTGAAGCTCAGCACAGCAGAGCCGTGCAGAGACCCGTCACAGCGACAGCAGGAGTGGTGGGCGTGAAGCACGAATGGAAATGGCTGTGTATGAAAGCACTAGGCGGAATAACATAAAGCAAAGATTGCAAAAATGGCCTGTATCAATGACCAATGGCACAAGTGACAGCAGTAAAACTGGTGAATGCTGAGGAAAGCGCTGTTTATATCAAGGCTGGTGGCCCCTGTGCTAGGGAGACCATGGTGCAGATGGTTCACCAGCAGAACACGTGTGCTCTGGTGGTAGGAAGATGGAGCAAGGTGGCATCACCTTGTACCTGCCATTCCTCTCCCTGTCTTTAATGGATTGTAACCCCTTAGCTTCCCATTTCAGATGAGACCTGAGCTATAGATTGCCACCCAGTGAGCTGAGACAGTACCGAACCTCCAGGAAAGACGAGGTGCCAGTCAAGCCCCTTTCCTCTCTTCTGTGCAGAGACCTGAAGCAGTTTGTGATCAGACCACCACAGCCAGAGACTGGATGAACAAAACTCGCTGCAAATGAAGCTGACCCTGCACTGTGACCCGCCAGAAACTCCTTTGCTCCTTATGGCCACGGAAAATGTACCCACGGGAACTATTTTGCAGGGCCATGGAAACGCACAGACATCTCACCAGTGAGAACAGGAGCAAATCACAAGCGCAATTTAAAATTCACACTCCGAGTTTGCAAAGGACAGAGGATTTAAAGCTAAAGAAAGGCTTAGCGGCACCAGCTATCTGGATTCGGCGCCTAAGTTTGATGTGCAGGGCTGTGCAGAGCTCAAGCCAGCTAGGGGAGAGGACAACCTTTCGCTGGCATCATCACCTTGAGAAAGCAGCCGGAGAGCATCCGCCAGAACAGGCGGTTCATGCATCCTCAGCGCCAGGAGCCGTCGGCAGTGCTGGAAGCCTCCCCCAGCCTCGTCCCTCCTGCATGCACCTTCACGAGTCCATCCTGCTTCTTGAGAGCACTACTGCTGCCTAGAAAGACTTCGCAGGAAGACCTGCTATTTTTTAGGCAAAAGACATGAAAATCTGTGATATTGAATTGATCATTTAAAAAAAGAATAATTTTAAAATAAATAATAATGAATAAATAATTATTAAAAGAGTAAAGATTGCAGCAGGTTCTCATGGAAGAGCATGAATGGAGCTTAGGAAAGTGGGGGGCTCATGGGCCAGCCTCAGCCATCGGGATTACCCCAATTCCCTGAGCTGGTCTGGGTGGGTGAGCAGGGACTTCAGTATATGGCAGATTATTTTATACACCATGCTGTCTGGCAAAAAAAGCACATGAAGAAACCAAGCATCAGGCCAGACTACAGTCTAATCCAATTATTATTTTCTGGGCTCAAAAGCAGGAGATCCAAATGCCATTTCTCTTTTCAAATTTCTTGTTCCTTTGAAAACCAGGACTTTTCAGAGGTAAACTCTCCCAGAAGAAAAATATTTCCTTCAGAAAAAATCAGAAACTTGTTGAACCCCATATTAGAACCTGAATAATGATGCTACTCCCTTCCTTTGTAATGAATTCGACCAAAAGGACAAATCTGAACGTATAATGAAAAAGATATATTTTGAAAATACATTTAAGCTTTTGTGTGAAGGCAGTCCTTGTCAAATGGCAGCTCAATCAGCACACAGTTTTAGCGGTTGCCCTCATTTACATACACAAGGATCAGGACTCTAGAAAGTAAAATGAAAATAAGATTTCTCAGTAAATGTGCTTTTCCATGTGCTTTTCCGTCTCTATTCCCTGCTCTTCAGCAATGTTGGCTTTCCGCCTGTGCCAGGAAAACCGAATCCCAGTTCAACTTATTTTCGCTTCTGAGTTAATCCAATTTATTTTGGCCTGAGCCAGCTCCTCTCAAAGAAGCGGGAACGTCGGCATGACGGTAGGGCACCCGCTTTGCAGGGGACGCTCGCTGCGGCTGCAGCCCCTGCGCTGGGGCAGCCCGGGCGAACGCCCGCACGCTCCAGCTGCCTGTCCCCTCTTCAGACACGAGGTGCAGCTCTCGAGTTGAAATCAGAGATATCCCTACAACGGAGAGAGACAGAGGATGCTTATTAAAATGTAAAACGTTATAAAACCATGAGACGCCGCAAGCTCTTTGGAGGGTGGTGTTAGGATGCAAAATTATCTTGATAAATTGAAAAAAATGCTGACGTGAATGGGATGCGAGTCCATAAGCACAAGCACAAAGCACAAGAGCAGGCACAGCCGTTGCACAAAACCTAGAGCAGAAACCACTGAATAGGCAGCGATCTCTCCAAAAGGTATTTTGTAGATATAGAGACTGACAAAAGTAATACGAATCAATAATACCCTGTTGTTGTAATCAAAGCAAACATCATACTTGCATGCATAAATACAAATATTTCTCAAAAATTTTTCGCTTGCGTCTCCTTTCACTAGATGAAATGAGACAGTGGCCTTCAACCCTGTTTGGAGATATAAGTATAAAGGCAACTGCATTTACTCCAAAACGTACCTCACCAACATATTATAAAGTGTAAAATGAGAAAATTTTTAATCAAAATAGCTGAAGTCACTAGAAGCAAATGACATACATCTCTGTATTGGATTCAAATTTGTTTTAAAGGTAAGATTTGAAAAAAGCACCATCTAAAAAGGAGGGGATGAACCTTGGCACACAAATGTGAAAGATTAAAGCAAGAACATCTGATGAACAAGAGCTG